TTTAAAATAATTCAAAAAATTATTATTTTTGCTTCTTAATATCTGTTCCATCTTCTTCACTGCACAGTTATAATTTTGATTCCACCTCCTTAATTATTGCTGCTGCTAGAATTTTGAATTTCACTGTACAGTTATGGTTCTATTGGTGTAGAATTTTAACTGATTAAATTCACGAGTAGATGAGTTCTTTTAGCAATAGATCTTTGATGACTCAATTTTGCCTGAGGAGAGGAGGAATTTCGGGATTCAATTTTTCTAGAAAAGAGGAAGAATTCTAGAGATTCGATTTTGGCACACGGTGGTTTGAACACAAAAATAGATAAAATAAAATGAGGATGAGAGATTTTAGGGATTACAAAATCTTATTAGGGGTGTTTGGAATGCGGTTTACGAATTTCATAGAGTTTTAGTAGATAAATTTTGAGCGTTGGATTAATTATAAATAAAGGTCGTGATTAATTGTTAAAAAGACTTGTCAAATTAGTGTGCAGGAGGAACGATACCATTAAAACTATATTGGTTTAACCCTTAATAGTGTGTATGTGTGCGCGACTTTTTAGCTGTATCTTTGGGTTGAGTAAATTCCTAGATTTGTGATATTTATAGTGGTGGTGGTGTCAACTCATGGGGTTAGAGAATTTTCAAGTGACTCTTTATTTATAAAGAACGTCTTTAAATTTAGAGAGTCAAAACTTTTACACACTTCAACAAGCTCTCTATTTTTGTTCTTCATTTTGCCTTTCTCAAAAAATATTTATTAATTTCTCTATATTTTAAGAAGTTAAAATACAGAATCTCTTGGTTAACTCATTTTCAAGCAGTGATTCTCTAAAATAAAGATCATTTAATGTTAAGAATATTTCTTGAAGATACTCTTATAAGTTGTAGAGCTAGAAATGCAGTTTTGTTTGTCTCTATTTAAAATAAAACTCTTTAATTTTCCTACTAATTTTCAATTACAAATTTTTTTTATACTTTTTAATAATACATTTTTCGAAGAATCGGTATTCAAAACTCCATTTTTTTTCAAAATAATGATCAACTAAGAGAAATGCAATTTGGTAAGAAAGTGAGAAACGTGGGGACCACATTAACGGTGGCATGAGACATGTTGGTGGGCGATGTTCGGGACAACGGGAGCTAGTGGTGGTGGCGGTGCCCAGGGTCAGTCCTTTGATTTTTGGGACCCGAGGTGAACTCCATAAAATAGGCCCCCCAAAATGAATGTAAATCCAAATTCAATAGTGTATTAATCTATATCTAGGAGGCATGTTGTATGAATCTATATCTAATGCCCAATGACAATTCCAAAATATCTCAATCATTTTATAATTAAAGTTTTCAATATAGTTATTACGTGCACCTGTGCAATTGATCCTACAATAACCAATCATATAAGCCGACCATGCCGCAATTATATAAGCCGACAAGATTTCAAACATTTTCAATATATTCAATAACAATTTAGGGGAAGCCATCGCTTACCTGAGAATTAGAATTTCGAGGAAAATTATGAAATCACAGTATCACACCCTTGAGAATTCCACCCTTGAGGAAAAATATGAAATCATAATATGTTTAGAGCAATCAAACCGAACCCTTCATAAGAGAAATGTCACACAAAAAAATGCAGACAACATCAATGATTACTGGCCCCCAGTTCAAAATTCTCGACAACAATTTATGTTTGGTTGTGACAATCTTTTTAGTGCAATACACATTAATACTGAAAATATTCATGCTGCTCCATTTTGTAATCTCATTATAATTCTCCAAACAAGTACTTGAAAAGAAAAATGACTAAACCCATTTTTCTTTGAAGGTAAAGGAAAATAGTAAACTAGCTAACATATTTGAGAACAAAAGGTCCCTTAGAAGTAACTTCATTTTTTCCTCTTTAAGCTTAGCCAAACATGCCCCAGGTAAAATTCAATTAAAAACACCACCCCGCCCCCTCACAACAGAGGTAAACAGTTTGCTCACATGCCACAATATAGTTTGAAACCAAACTGAATTGCAAATGACATATGATAAATGGACAATTTGGACTTCCTTGCATGGTATGATTTGATTAGAAAGTAAGTCAAAAATTGTCCAAATCAGATCGTTTATAAGAAAGGAAAGGACAGTGAGGAAATACTAATTGTAGGACAAAAAAAATATGCCAACATATGCGCACTCAAAACCTAACCCTTCATGAACTCCCAAAACCAATAATATAGAAACACCATAACCAGTATGGCAGTACCCAAAACTCCAAAGCGGCCGGCGTTCGGCAGGCCATAAAGGTACAAAAACAGATTCTCAAGAAATCTCACGTTCTTTTTAATCTTTCCACAGTTTGGAGTTGGAGGACAACGTCAGTCACTATCCGATTGGAGTTGGAGGAGTCGTCGATTGAGTTGGAGGAGACGAGGTCGAGTAGGAGGTAATGAAAACATATTTCCCTTTTTCCTCCTTTAATTAAAAATTAAAAAAAGGGCCAAAAATAGGCCCCCTCCGATTTTTGGCTTGAGGCGCAGGCCTCATTTGCCTCGACTGTGCCATCATGCCTTTGTGGTATAGAGGAGAAGTAGGGTGGCTACGAATTAAAAAACGACGATTTGTAGTCTTTTTCGTCTCGTTCTTTTTTAAAAAATAATAATAATAAATTATTTAGTTTTTATAAAATAGATTGTGCCCTCAAAACAAAAGAAAAAAAATATATATAGTATATTTCATTTTCTATCCATTTGTTGTTTCCGATCCTGAAAGGTCGAATCAACGAGAAGCATTCAAGTTCAAATCTGACCTTATTAAAGCAAGCTCAGGCTGCTCATCTAATCTTGCAAAGTACAAGATATCGTCAACAAAATTTTATATTTTTCTATAATTTTTATAAGTTATTAAAGATTAAGTTCAAATATTTTTTATTGTTATTTTATTCCCCTATTAATATATAATTTTTATTATGTACTGACAAATATTTTTGTCGATAAATAAAGATATTAAATTATTTAAATTTTAATATTACTAACTGAAAAGTCATTCATAATCTTAAATTAAATTGTCATTTACTTATCAACAGAATTTTCTTCAAGTAATAGTTAATTCTCAAGCTTTTTGTGAATAATGATAATAAAACTAATACAAATTAATCGAATTTCCATTACTTAATGAGACTATAGAAATGTATTTGGGATGAAATATGTGTACCAACGTTCTTTTACTTAGAGGTTAAAAAAAGTTATTTTTTAACAAAGAATTTAACTTCAACTAATAATGACCCGTTTGATTGCAAATGTGGAAAATTTGTGGAAAGAAAATGAATTCTAGAAAAAGTAATTGTCTAGAACTTGTTTTCTAGAGAAGTTTTAATTAACTGTGTTTGATTGATATAATTTTTTGCTCGAAAATTTTAATGGATCTTTTTGTGTTCATTTGACTTTATTTTATATGAAAATTGTCCATTAAAGTGATAATTTTTTTCACAATTGATTATAAAATTTGTTTCCATTGCCAAAAAATAAAAATCAAAAACAAAAAAAAAATATTTCCTAGAAAATCATTTTTTCATCAAAGTTTAGAGTTCGTTTGACTTTGTTTTACATGGAAATTGTCCATTAAAGTGAAATTCTTTTTTAATAATTGGTTATGAAATTTGTTTCCATTACCAAAAAAGAAAAAAAAAAAGCTGGAACTTCCATTTACCACCAAAAAGGTGGGAAAAACAATTCAAGCAAATCCAAGAAAACATGCGCGTGAGGAGCCAATGTGGAAAACCAAATGCCAAGAAAATTATTGCCATCAAACACTACAAAACTTGGAAAATGGAAAACTAATTCCATTTTTCATGGAAAAGGTAGTGTATCAAACACAACCCAAGTGTTATTTTGAAACAAAATGTACTTATAAGTTGAAGCTCAGCTGCACTTTAGATTTGCAGAACTTCACTCCTAACCCACTATGCTTGATACAAAACTTGGGTCATTCACTCAATCTGGTTCCCAAAATAAATTCATGGATCCCTTTTGGGCCAATTTGAGACTTAAGGAAATTAACACAAAAAACACTAAAATTTGCCATATATTGTTTAGCATTCCATTTCATGGACTTTAATTTAGCTCTACCAAGTATAAAGAAGACGAATGGGGCTCTTGACACGAGTTTTTCAATCATACTTAATTCTGGTCGAACGACACGACTATCCACAAGAATTTGTACCGATCTTGTAAAAGCTAACCGTGTGTTTATAAAACGCTAATATAAACTTCAATTTTCGGCTATTTTCAGCGGCTTAAGTACAATTTCAACTCTATCCGATGCATAGTTTATTTACTAGTAAAAGTAAATCATATTTGTTTATTCACTATTAAAAGTCAATTATATGAAGACTATGTTTCTAGATCATTAAGCTCAAGAGTTGTTCGTTTCTGAAATCCTGAAAAACATGAATTATGTTTTATGTCATGTATTAACTACGAGCTTGTTTAACAATATTTTTTTTTTGACTTCTATTTAGTTGCTTTCGAAGAGTCGAGAGTAGACTTAAAAAACATATAATCGAGTCTATTAAACATGATCGGATTTTTACATACTTACATAAACTTCAATTCGATCTGTATGATCTTCATTTATTCTTCTAATACAAGTCATGTTACACTCTCTTTCGTTTTTTTTTTTCCCTTAAGCAAAAGCTTTTCAAGAAGTCAAAATACGGTTGAAGTAAAAGAACACGCGAAATTATAGATCTATGGATATGTATTATTGAAGATTAACCATTTTCTCATAATTATAAATAACTATAAATTTATATTTGACTGGATCCGGTCCCGTCCACGTCCTCATGCCAGTACTGTCCATGCACGGTTCACCCCCACAGGACACACTCCAAAACAAAACCCACTATAAATAATCTACAAACTTTCGTCTTTCCCTTGTATCAAAGCCCCTCTTCCTCCACTCCCAACACCCTCTTTTCCTCTCATTCTGTGTCTTATATTTCCTTTGCACAGAAGAAAATGGCAGGTTATGGTGGAGTGGTGCTAGTAATGGTGGTGGCTACAGTGATGATGTTGACCAGAGTTTGTGCTGATCCAGATTCGCTTCAAGATATTTGTGTTGCTGATCTGTCTTCTGGTATCCATCAACTCTCTCTCTCTCTCTCTCTCTCTCTCTCTCACTCACACACACACACTGTACAAGTATATAATTGTGCGTGTGTCCATTCTTGTATTTAATGATATAGAGGTTCATCGAAGTAATACACAAAGTGAGGCATTTTCCTATCACTTTGGACTGTGTGCACAAAGATGTTAGATGGGATGGTTAAACATGGTAGCACGGTGTGCATGAATCAAGTTTTGTCATTGCTCGTTTATGAAAATTGTAATGTATCTTTTATGAAAAAAAGGAGTTTTTGAGGTTTTAGATGTTGTGATTTTTGTTTTCTTTTCTTCTTTAATTCGAGTTGAATATGTGAAATAGGTGTAAAAGTGAATGGATTTGCTTGCAAGTCTAAAGTGACAGCCGAGGACTTCTTTTTTGCTGGCCTAGCCGAGCCTGGCGCCACCAACACCACCACGGGATCAGTTGTAACTGTCGCTAATGTCCAGAAAATCCCGGGCCTAAACACTCTAGGAGTGTCCCTCTCGCGCATTGATTATGCACCGGGTGGCCTAAACCCGCCCCACACCCACCCACGCGCCACCGAGATAGTGTTCGTGCTCAAAGGTGGACTGGATGTGGGCTTCATAACCACAGGCAATGTCCTAATTTCCAAGTCTATCAAGAAAGGTGAAATTTTCACATTCCCTAAAGGCTTAGTCCATTTCCAGAAGAACAATGGCAAAGTTCCGGCTGCCGTGATTGCTGCATTCAATAGCCAACTGCCCGGAGCTCAGTTGATCGCCGCCACATTGTTTGCCGCATCACCACCGGTGCCGGACAATGTTTTGACAAAGGCATTCCAAGTTGGTACCAAGGAAGTTGAGAAAATAAAGTCCCGGTTTGCACACAAAAAGAAGACTCTTGGCACATAGAATTCGCGGAAATGCTTGGTATAAAACTTCAAATAGGAAATAAAAGTTTAACTTAATTTTATTTTTGTAAACTTTTTATTTTTATCCAATTTACTTTTACCTTACATGCCATAGTGTGATTTATTTGGTTTGGACATTGAAATGGTTGTAGTACAAAAGAACTTCCTTTGGTTCATTGGATGTCAACAATAAGATTTTAATTTTCAGAAATAATCTCAATTACATATACTGATTGAGTAATGCTATGCAGGCCACTGGAATTACAACCCCAATCTAGATGACTTTAAATGATAGGCTAAATGAAATGTGAAATTGTAACCCCACTGAGACTGCATCCTTCTTATACTCGACCTTCCACAATTTCTTTGTTATGTAAGTAGATAAAATTTCTAATTAAATATTGAAGACAAGTATCTTATTTTCTACACGATTCGGTGAAATTCAACTGAAAACCCAAAAGTAAACTTGTTTGTAAAGCGAATCTTAGATAAAGACATACCCAACTTTTGATGCTTTAAGTGATTTGACAAAGGGATTTGATATGATACCTACTTAACCAATTACCATTATTTGTAATCATAAATCATTCATTATGTGTTGGTAAGTCTCCAAATCTTTGTCTACCTACTAATTTTAGGACTTGAATTCTACGATAACAAACAAAACTTGAACAAAACGTCAAAGGTATGTCTATTATAATGTTTTGAACTTATAATCTAACATCCAAGCACATTTGTACACAAACAAGGCCTTATCTTGGATACATACAACCTCAATTGCTACAGGGCCCATTCAAAATGGATACACAACTTAGGTAACCCCTAAATTATTTTCCAACAAAAAAAATAGTTAAAAATTAACAGAACAAATTGCAGCTCAGTGGGAGACATGAACAAAAGAATTGGTCAATCACCTATCTAAAGATTGTTAACTACAGCTAATTAGGTTTCTAATTCTACACCAAACCAAGAATTATTGCTGATTAACTAAATAATTATTGATATCACTTCTCCCCAATGGATTGGATTCTTCTGCATTTGAGTGCTTATTTCTACTCCCATTTTCAATTTCAACAATTCCAAAACCATTCTGCAATTAAAGCATGGCTCTCAATCTTCTTTTCACCTTCAAGCAACGATTGTCATCAGAAATCATGTCATTCTGTTTGTCGATAATTACCCGATGGTTGAACCAGCAATCAAAAAGTTAATGATGACGTCAGGTTTGTACTACAATATGTTCTCATGTCGTCTTTATATGTTGTACGTTAGGAAGATGGATTATTTGGATAGTATTTTAAAAGAATCTTTAAGAGGTTGAAGAGGCTAGAGAAGGGACTTGTAGTGTATTATCTCTAAATTGGCTTGTTACAAATGACAAGGGAGCACCTCTATCTATAGTGCTCAATGGACTCTTCTGCATACCAAAATAAATGCATCTTCCAACTACCTACGAACATTCACTAAATATTTTTTAATATAAGACAAATCTAGAAAGTGGATTATTCTAGAGCATGACTTTTCAAGAATATGGACTATTTAAATATGGCCTTATGAAACCACTTAATTATAATAATTAACAAGTCCAAAAATAATAAAATAGTCCAAATTAAGTTTATTTTATAGCATGTCCCCTTAAACTTGATTTGGTCACTCCAAGTGCATCTCTTAGCTTGAAAAAGACTTCACACTTCAATGGTTTGGTGAAATATCCGCTACTTGATCTTGAGTCTTAACATACTTCAACTCTACTTCCTTTATTTCTATGCTTTCTCTTGTGAAGTGATATCTTGTATCAATGATGAATCACGGGATTCTTTGCTACTGCAATTGTCTATTTGTTTTGTCCACATTAGGTCTCGGATTGCATTCTTCAGCAACCAATCTTCCTTTCTATCTTGCACCTTCTCCTTTAGCATTCTTCTTTGCTTTATACACTCATTTTACTCCAATTGTCCTTTGAACTTCCAGAAGTATTGCTAGCTCCACATATCATTCTTCAAGTTTGCCTGAATTGCTTCGTCCATGGCTTCTCGCCATTTCGTGCTTTGCACGGATTCTTCAAAACCTATTGGCTCACAATCGGCAAGAAGACGAAAAAAAAAGTGTGAGTTTATTTTTATTTTTGGTTACCTCATATAATTCTTGTAAGCTCCTTGTCCATTGTCTCCTTGGTGGTGTGATTGAACTTGAATTTCCACTTGGTAAGTATCCAAGAGGGCTTGCTTGTGGTGAATGAGGTAGAGTTGTATGATATTGCATTTCTTCTCTTGCTTGCTCTACTTCCTTTTCTTGTTCCTCTTCGATTATCTAAGGAAAATCATAGTCATCTTATTTAGTGTCCCGTCTCAATGAATCTTCTTCGTTAAATTCAACATCTCAAGTAATGATGACCTTTGTGGTGCTTGTATTGTAGAGCTTGTATCCTTCATAAGATCTTGAATCATTGTTACACAAAAGTGATAATATGCGATAAAAAAACAAATAAGAACAAGAACACACAGATTTACATGGAAACGAAGACGAAAAAATACCACTGGTAGAGGAGGAAAAATCTAATATATCAAAGATAAGTACAAGAGATCGGTGTTTTGACGGCTACACCAATAAAATACAATGAAACTCTAACATACATCATACATATAAGTGAAGAGCCCATAGGGATCCTATCACTCTACTCATACAACAGAAATGCTATCCCCCAAGTGAAGTTGCGATTTTGTGACAACTGACCTCCAGTGACACGAAATTGTGATTTATAGTACTTGTGAATTAGTCATCTTCTCAAGCATTTACCACTTTGTTCATAATTCTCTATCAACTCATTTTACATTTATTGTCACAAATTGTACTATCAATATTGTTCAAATGTTTTGTTTAGAAGTTCTATGGTTTTATTATTAGTATAATATGTAGTTTATAATTTTTTGAAGTACCCACATTGATTTACGTTGAGGCATAAGCTTGGAAGAGCTTACACCTCAACGCACTAATTTTAAAAATCATAGCTTTGAATAGTATTTTTTGGAGAATTTGTGGTTAAAAAGTAAGGAAAAATTTTGGATTTACGTGTAGAATATTTTATTATGTAAATATGTAGTTGAAAATGAATATAAAAAAAATCTAAAGTAAAGGGGATCAAACAGGACTTAAGTCTTTTTAAACACCAATATTTCGATTAAAATAGCTGTGAGTGTTTAGTTGAAGCAGTTTTTTACTCATTGAATTCAAATTTAAATGTCAATTCAGTTTCATAAAACTATAAAAAAACTGATTGTAATTTGTTTCAGTGCAAATTCAATGCATGGAATTTGTGCAAGCAAAGACCCACGACTCTCTTCCACTTGAGAGATGTAACATAATAATAAATCTATAAGAAATAAGCTACACCCAGAAGGTACAAGAAGAACATTCATTTTAATTACAACAATTTAGTTAGTTATTCTGCTTCATTTGTGCATAGCAATCACAAGATTTTTATGCTTTAAATTTCGAAAATGGACTAGAATTTCAAAACGAAAGCCTTTGCGGTACCCTCATCCCTTAAGCCTCATATCTTAACCCACTGATCATAAACAAATAAACCCAAAAACCCTTGCATGAAACACATTTTCAACTAACACAATTCACCATCACTATAAAAGCACAAGCAACAAAAACGTAGAAAAAAACAAAAATAAAAGTATAAAAAAAAGAAGCTATATAACAACCTTATACACTGCAGTTTTTAAGGCTTCACTCCATAGATATAATGAGAGAATTGACTTACTTATCATGCTCCAACCACGTCCATTAAAGTTATGTTTCTCCTTTCAACTACACCGTTTTGTTGCGATGTGCTTGCATTTGTCCCTTTCTGTGTATTGTCCGTAATATTCTCTACCCCTATCTGACCTTACAATTTTGATTTAGATTTTTTTTTATTCTCTATTGTTTTATAATTTTTGAAGGCAACTTGTGCCTCGGCCTTATGGTTTAGAAGATAGAGATACATATATCTTTGTTAGGTTTTAGATGTTTTGTAATTGGAAATTCTGTAAACAAAAAAACTGAATTATACTATGTTTAAAAAGTCAAGAAGTAATGTGCAAATAGTTGAAAATAAGGTTATTAGGTCTAGGGTTGGAGAAAGGCAAAAAGAGGAAAACGGCGCTAATTTTCGGTAGACCGTCGCTAAGGTTTGGCTCGAGTTACAAAAGCAGAAACATTGTCGCTGGGCTGTCGCCCCTTGACCTTCGCTGAACCCTTGCTCCAACGAAGTGGTTATCCAGAAAATTTTTATTTCGCG